AACGGAGAGCATTTTAAGTCTGAGGACGCAAAAGGAGAATCTGTTAACTATTTTTTATAGGTTTCAGGAACATGTGTAGACCAAGATAAATTGAGCTAGGAATAATCCTAGCTATTTTACGGTAGATGTGCGGGATTTGCTTGGGTCATCCGCAGTCCTAGGAGGAGAGATGTGTACAAGTGACTGCAATCTGTTGGAATGTAGAAAACAGAGCATGACGTCACAACAATTGGATAGGGTGAGAGAGAGGGACAGGAGCTGGAGCAATTCACTAGTTCGTCTAACCGCCGTTGGAGCTTCATACAGTCCCCATTGGTTGGGGCTGTATATCCCAGGACGACGTTATGAGCATAGTTACAGCCTATGAAATTGGATGGAATAGGAGGGCTTTTGACTCAGTCGGTGAATAGAAAGGGGAACAGGATGGCGCCCTGCGAAACACCACAATTGACTGGGAGTACAGAAGACCGTTTGCCACACAGCTACGTGAAGTGGGTAGGATTTGTGAAGTAATCACACATCACAATACACACATGGAGGGACACCGTTCTTGAACAAACTGTTGAACAGTAGTGTTCCATCAATGCACCCAAAAGCGTTGGTGTAATCAAGAAATAGGAGCCGTGCGCTCTTGAATTTATTATCCAACGCAAACGCAAAGGAATGCTCCAGATAAGAAACGGCATCTAGTGTAAAGCGCCATGGTTTATAGGCAAACTGTTTGACATCATCAGGATGATTACCTGTGAAAATGCGTGGGATCAGCAGTTTTTCAAGTACCATTAGAAATACAAACATGTACGCGATTGGTTGAAATGTCCGAGATCCTTTTTTAGGCACTGGTGTTATTCTGGCTGCTTTCGAATGTTAGAATGCTACAAGTCGTTAAGCAACGATTCCAAAGTTCGGCCACAGTTGTTGTAAAAACATCTGTACATTCTTTCAGAGCGACTGTTGAGAGAGCATCCGGTCCACTAGCCTTGTTTGGTTTCATCCTTTTGAGCTCCTTGTAAATGCTTTCGGAAGCAACTAAAGTAGGATTCTCAGTAGTGGTGAAATATTGCAGTGTGTGTGTTAGGTTGTGAGGAGCTGAACTTAGCGTTGAGTTCATCTACATCTTCGTTGATGAGTGTTTTGAAAAAATTCTTTCCGGTGAGTTGTCCTAGAAGCCTCTATAGGTCACGGTAGCTGTGGTTGCCTAAAACGGTCTGAATGTAAGGAGCGTTTAACCTTTTTCTTTTTGCTTTTATAGCTATGGACAGACGTTTAACACGAGCAGGTAGCCGATGTTTATAAACCTCTGGTTTTTTCCTCCTCAGTTACTTGAGCAATGAAGATTAAAATCTGTCATTTCGCAGGTAAACTGTCGCTATGGGACAACATAGATAAAACAGCGTCAAGGTGGCAGGGCGTATATGTTCATTGGGAAAATATGAGAGGGGCGTAGATAGTAAAGTAGAGGTTATATTACCAGGGAACATAGAAACATGCTTTAGTAGGCGCTGATAAGTTTAGGTAACTTATATCTTTTAGTATCCAGTTGGCATCCAGTATTCATCCAGTATCTAGTTGGGCAGCAACATATCTTCGGAGATAATGTGAAACCGGCAAAGATGGAGGCTTGACGGTGGCGCTCGGCCCGGTTGTTGCGCCAATAGCTCAGCTATTTTTCTTCCGTCCGTTGGGTATGTAAGAACTGAGATCGGGTGAAGACGCTATTTCATCATTTGCCCAGCCTACCAATGTAGCCAGACTTTTATAAGGTTCATGATAACCTTCCAGCTGAATTTCATATTAAACATGATTCTCAGAACAGTGGCTTCTTGTATGTCACCAGTCTCATATCGTTATTCGTTATCTGGCCGAAAAGAAGACAGGGAATGAATACACGGGGAAGGAATAATTCAACTAAGATACTTTTTGTACGATCTGCCGAGGTATCAGCTTCTACCTACCCCCACGGTGGGTCACTTCTCTAAGTAACAGGCAGAAGAAACAGCACCCCCAATTTCAGCACCGTCGTATCGAACACGGTCCAATGGACCCACAGCTAGTTAGTGTAAAAGAGAAGTAAAAAGGAAGTAAGAAACTGTGTCTAAGGAGTCAAGACAGTAATTAAGTCGTTGAAATCAATGATGGATATATAGCCACACATAACAAGTTTTGCAGAATACAAGGACCTCTTTCAAATATTCACTTATGGGCCAAACATTAACTTGTCGATAAGATGCAGCTGCTTGTTAATCGTCCTTACAAATTGAGGTTGACCACTCTCACTCTTGGTTTCCAGAGATTATTCCGCACTGTAGAGTTTCGAGGTTGCTCTTCCCCATCCCTGCATTCCACGAGCAGTGGGTTCGCCCTGGTTTCGAAGCATCAGGTAGAAATAGCCTGAGTGTGGACTGGAAATTGGCACATGGTAGCTTGCGGCTTTCGCCATGATCACTAGATCACTGTGCAGCAGCACTCGCTTTTCGGGATTTGAAGTGCCTACTGTTTGTCTTGGATTACGAGACGTGATTTCACTGGTAGCGGATAATCCAAAACCTGACAGTCAAATCCTATTCGTTGTGTCAATTTCTAACCCTGGAGCTCAATGGTCTAGTGATCCTGCGACAGCCGTTGACCACTAGATGTCGAATTCCACCTTAAACTCAGGCTATCTCTAGCTGATGAGTCTAAAGCAGGGCGAAACCGTCGGTCGTGGAGTGCAGGAATGGGAAGTAGCATCGAAACCCTCCATTTTGGATATGGTCCATGTGGTCGGGTTGGCGGAGGCTGAATTTAAGATCAAACGTGGTAACAATTGAGATTGCTTGTCGCAAGCCACGTCACACGGCGGATACTCCAAAACGCGACCTTTACTTTCTAGTTTGTTCCGCATTCATGGAAATTTATTCCTTTAGATGCTTAAAAGGATTTAAAAATAAATAATTGGGAATGCGTAGCACCGTCTAATGTCGAGCACCCTAACTCTAAAGATTAGACTTTGCTGTGAACCCGAAATCGAAGATCAAACAATAGGATAAACTCGGATTAAATGTTATTCTGTCCATACCTAGCGGTCCTAAACATACTGAGTTACAGGTTTCATAATGATATCTTATTAAACATAATTTTTAAAAGTCTCCTGAATGTTTCTGCTGCAAGGCTCTACATAGGAGAGATCGCCATGTAAAACTGGGCAATAATTAAACATTCATCTTGTGTACAAATTGAATGCCTCTACGTTCAACAGAATAAGTGTTCTGTAAAGATATGTGGCCATCTTCCTGTAAGGGGCCTGCAAGAACTAACATTTTCAACTAAATTGTGGTGCGTATAGCACCTCACTTCCAAGTCACGGACTGTGTGACACATAGGGATAGCAGCATTACTAAGTGTTGGACGAGGCAGGGGAAATTGCAAACAAGTATGGTGTGTTTCATCTGCCTGTTGCAAAGTTCGTTCTCCATGCAAAGCTCCATTTTTTCAATGAGGACAAACCGGATTGGATGTATGTGAGATCGAACTCGCTGTGCGAGTGCAAAAAGTACGCGATTGTAGCACCATCAAAATAGGATTCCCAAATATGTCATGAAGAAATAGATTAAATATATGGATTAGAAATAAAAATGGACCAAGCACATATGCATGAACAACTACGGCTGCCACTTATTTTGATTAGAGGAACAATTGTCTATTTCAACTGCTTGTTTCCTCTTCTCTAGCCAAAGAACTATGTCTGGTTTATAAGACGATTTATAACAAGCATATATATATATATATATATATATAACCTGTGGTACTGCTATTGTGCTGTCGGGATCATGACAAAATAGGAAAACAGGATTGGAAATAGGTGAACTAAGCAACCTTCTGTTCAGTTTCCCACTCATAGTATTTGCTATTTTTAAAAATGTGTTTTATCAGGTAGAGGACGGGGATGACCGCAAAACGCTGAGCTGCACTTCCAAGTCTTGGTCAACGACTACAAGTGTCTCCAACCAGTGACATTCCGCATCTTTGGGATTCCGAGGTGAGAGGCGAGAACGAACGACCGAGGCCAAGGCTTTCTCCTAAAGCTTCCCCAAATATAGGCTGTCCACCGTGCCGCCCCATCAGCCCTGTCCGGTAACCTCGGGTTATAAAGTCCCAAAGTCTTTGCGTATACCAAGTAATGTAATGACGTGGGCGCTACTAAGGATTTTGTACTCTAATGACTTACTCCAGGTCATCGGGCTGGAAAATAGTAAAAGGTATTCAATTAAACTGCCAAATAATGTTCCTGGAGTCAGAAGCTGACACAAAACTAAGTAGCGCTCTGCTTAGTTCAGAAGGCCTCGTTGTGGTCAGATGCTTCGGATCGATAGTCTTACCAGTCGTGTCAAAAAAGTCATTCAACAGACTCAGTGTGATGTTCTCGAGTGCCCGCACTGCATACCTAAAGTCTGCTGTGTAGGTTACTAATCTCAAGGTAAAGGAATGATTATGAAGCAGGAGGTGCGGTCGCACATTTTGTCGTTTTAATGTTGCAGTTTACATAAGTTATTCGTCGAGGTCGGCATACCAATGATGCTACCACTACAGCTTGTTAGCAGAAAAGCTCCTATGTGGAGATGAAAAGCTGCTGATTGTGTTCGTATTCGAACGTATTCTCAGACAGACTAAAGATTTTGCCTTCGTAGCTAGAAGTTAGGAACAAGTGCATAAACTTTGTGGGTTAGGCAAATGTAGGGTAAATATGAATTTTTAATTTTGTCCGTGAATGACGTTATTGTGTAGCAACTGTGAAGCATATTCCTTCAACTTGTTTCATATGGATGGATTACATTTAGTAAACGAACACGAATGTCTATGAATGATCGTGACATTTACATTAGTTCTCTTTACACACTTTGACGGCTTTGGGTTCATGAATGGATCGACGGACGTTAATCTACTACTACTAACTGTTTCACATTGAAATTTCAGCCGAATCACTACCTGTCTCTGCTCATAAACCTTGACGAATGCATTAGATATTCTCACCGGTCTACTATTTGCACTTATCTGTTTCGCAGCCTTTCTATTTGTTCCAGATCAGTTTACAGCATTACGCAAAGCTATCATAAACATATCTGCTGCATTCGCGAACATTGGGGATGAAATCCTCCAAAATGATGCATAAAAGACCATTTTTCTGTGATTCTCTTTAGATAGTCTACCAAGTATAGCAATACATGCTTTGTTTATATGCCCATATTTGCTGTGATAAGCCAGTGAAAACGAGTCACCTTTCTCATCACAATATCGTACAGCAAATCCAACAATCCAGTCTCAGCATAATCGAAGGTTACTACCACTTATCCAAAAGCACTTTATACACTCTTTCTGCAGTTGGCAAGCAAGAGCATACGTCCAGTTGGACGATGTATCCATCTCAGCTTCTAAAGTCTAATTTCATCACCGGTGAGGGATATATCTGGCACTATCTATTAAATAACGGTAGTTATTGCAATCTGATGTGTATTCTCCAAGTTGTATTGCAGCAAGCCTAGTATAGATGGTTATATCGGACCCCAGTAAAATGATGAGCATGCCACAAAAAGCACACAGATTGTGGGTCTTACGCAGCTGCCAAAAAGCAATTCACAGAGAACTACCAGCTACAACGTCTTCCGTTGTCGCTTCTCCAGCCTAGAAGTTAGTTCAAGCTAACAACTTTCAGTATGCACACTTTAATACAGCTAAAAAAACAAAATTGACTTACACTTACGTAGGAGACCATTACATTTCATGGTTGCTACTTGAGTGAGGCCCAAACTTTAGATTCCAACATAGTCCTACGGTTGTCGTTACTTATCCACCGACACCCGATTCCATATTTGCCTTTCTGGTGAATCTGCGTCAGCAACATCTGAGCACTCAAGTGTTAGGATCGCACACGGTATTAGAGCGGGGCCACTCTACTTACTTGGATTCTATACCATTTCCCGGACAAGTTGTCCACTTGGGCAACAGAAATAATCTGAGGAGGCATTCAACATGAGTCTACTCAATTAATTTGTTCCGTGCGTACCCCACTCACTTGTGCAGGTGTGTAGGTGTACGTGTATAGCCCGTCGCCTTCAGCCAATAATACCTCAGACGCACTAAGTCATAGGGGTGTATGTGGGACGCTTCAGCTACTACCAGGGACAGTGTCGCTGGCCGATACATCAGGTTGGCCTTTCTTTCGCTGTCCTAGGAAGCGATTCCCACCAATTAGAACGAGAGTAAGGATTTGAATGACGATTGGTTTGGTATAACGAGCCACAGCCAAATAAGTTTGCCGTATGCTTTTGAATGTACAGTTCACCTAAACGCAATGGTTGGCTCGTATGTTCGGCACTCGAGGGAGGTGAAGAACGTCGTACTGAAAGCGTACGAGGAAGGGGACGATTGGAAGCAGGTCGCTTGCATACTGAACGTGAACGTGAAAACTTGCCGCAACTGGATCCGGGCGTACGAATCGACAGAAACGGTGGGACAGCACGGGGGAGTTCGTCACAGAGCACTGGGAGAAAGCCACGTCGACTGTCTGGTTGAGTGGGTCTCTGCAGAGCCTACCGTTACCCTTGAACTCCTTCGTTTGCGGTTGAAGGCGGAGTTCGAAGTTTCAGTAAGTACCAGCACTGTCTCACGATACTTGGATGGTAGACTTATAACAATGAAGAAATTGCACACCATTCCGGAGTCCATGAACACGCTGGAGAACAAAAAACGACACAGATCATTTGTTTGCAGCTCATGGATTACGAGGTGAAAGGAAGGCAACCGGTGTGGATCGATGAGACCAAATTCAACTTATTTTGCTCACGCACTCGTGGCCGCTCACGACGTGGCAGTCGAGTAAAGTCACTGCCCCTTGCTTCATCCTGGCGAAGCATTGTATTCCAGCAACCATATGCTGTACTTCTGGGGAGCATTGGGCCCCTGTTTGACAAAGGAACAAACGAAAGACGTATGAACTGAGCAATCAGTCACCGGCTCCCAATGGGCGCGATTCCCTGAATTCGCTCCGCTGCCTTGCGGGCAGGCTATTCAGCCAAAGGCTCGGGGTGGTGTCCCCTAAGTCAACACCCTACTTCGGCTTGGGCAACCGGGTAGTATCTCGCCCTCTGAGGAAACCATGGACATTGTTGTGTTGTGTTTTATTCTACTGTTTCTGTACCTTCGTTTGAAACCCATGGTTTCTGATGGCATTATGTCTGTTAGCAGACTTTTGCAAATATATATATATATATAATATGCGCTTGGGACCTTGACATGAATGTATTGAAAGTGACCACAATGAAACAAATAAGAGGGGCACTGGGAAGAACGTTTGCACAAGTGCGACACATGGCGCAAATGTGTTGTTGATCATACAGCGTAACATTAAAATATTCAAAACGCAGCTTATCCGGATAAGTTGTCAATCATATTTGGTATCCAAAATACGACGGTAATGAAAATACGGCCCCGTGTCACGTGCCGCCTTGGACGGACCGCCTACGCGCCCCCATACTACGTCTCTGCAAAGGAAACAACTAAACGTATTCAAAGCGGATTAGTCATCTCTTCGTCTATATAATGCAACCCCCTTTGTTGGGAGTCCAGCAACGACACCATAGCTCAATCATCGATAGTTGCTCATCCAAACTGAAACCTTGTGCACTGAAAACCGAAGCGCTTACACCGGAGCTACATCAGCAGATTAACAACCATGTAGCTGACGTTCCTGATGAAAAGCGCTTGGTTGAATGTGCCAGTAAAGCATGTGCAATTTTAGTCCATAGCAAGTAAAGACGTAAGGTAACTGCTCATTTTCCAAAGAACAACACTGGAACTAAGTTTCGACGGATCACGCGCCTAATGTAATATGTGTCATGGAGAGAGTACCCAGGGCTTCCCTATCCGGGAGTACATTGGGTCGTCAAAGACCCAGGGGGTTGAAAGGCGAAGCAGATACTTGGTAGGCGGCTGGCCCGTTTCATATCAACCACCTACTAGGAGTCCGTGATTAGCTGCACGGTGTAGTCACAGCTGGCGACGGGAACGGAGCCTGAGCTGTGTGGATGGATGACGATAACGCGCACGAGATATGATTACAACAGATGTCCGGCTATAACCACATCCTTTACCCACGTAGAATTGGGATGGAGCGAAATAGCAACTTCCACTTGCAAATGGCAAATGGCATATAAACGCACGGATTGGTTTGCGTCATACGGAGTCGCTCATCCCTGTGCAAATGTTACAACCCGACGAGCAACTTTGATTCGCCGAAGCGAGTACATTTTATTTGCATCTTCAAAGCATTCTGTCACCGCAACCATGTGGTGTGTTCGAATACAGTCCACAACTGACGAATGCCCATCGGGAAATATCTCCCTAGAGAGCGTGATCAAGGTTAGTTCTGCTTGTCCTACATACTCTGCGTTTCCGCTTACACCGTCCAGCCGCCTGCGTTGGTGCAATTGGTTAAGCAATCCGGCAAACGGCCACACACAATACCCATGTACGTCAAGTCTGCATCGTTTAATTTTCTTATTTATTATGCCCTTATCAAATTCCTTATCCACTGGCTCTCCAAACACAATCAACGACAGGCGGTAGAACGTAATTGTTGGTTACACAACCGTGTTAGAGTGGCATCTGCTTGTCAAGCTCCCACATGATTGTTCTACAACGCAGCAACTACAATTGGTATGCGACGCGACCACACGCACCAACTTACCGGAAATCCACAATGTTCCCCCGATTAGAGAACTAGCTTTTTCTAGCAGAGTATAAAGTTCACTCTGACCCGTCATCATAATAATGTAAGAACAACACTCGCTTAGAACAGGTAGTTTACTGCCAACAGAATGTTTTACAGATCGGCCAAATGGACAACACGTCCATAATTCTTACTGACATGTTGAACCATATGTTTGCAGTGCTGCTGCGTCACTAAAGCCCGTGCTTCAGACACCGCGTGCTCCAAAAACTGAATGCGCCACTCGCTTTTATTCATAATGCCTTCAGGATCCTCCAGGAGCATCTCGGAGTACCGTCCCTTCATTGCCTGTTTTACATGAGACTTTATTATACTCCATGTGCCCTCGATGGGATTGAGAGCTGGTGAGTATGGCGCAAGGCGTAGAAGTGCCCCAGAGCGGTACGGTTCCTCCAGAAAAACGTGCTCCAGGTGCGTGTGACAGGGCGCGTTGTCACAAATCAAAATACACCTTTCCACAAATCCTGTTCCGTTGGTATCAAGCACTCGTCGCAGCCACTTAGCGCACCTTTGCTTGTTGTAACTTCCTCTCAGAACCGAACACGCTATCAAGCCGTTGTTTGTCATGGCGCCGACAAGATGAACATTCAGTCCCCGGCTGTTCGCCACTGTACACTGCGCTCGACTGCCACGTCGTGAGCGGCCACGAGTGCGGGAGCAAAATAAGTTGAAGTTGGTCTCATCAATCCACACCGGTTGCCTTCCTTCCACCTCGTAATCCATGAGCTGCAAACCAAATGATCTGTGTCGTTTTTTGTTCTCCAGCGTGTTCATGGACTCCGGAATGGTGTGCAATTTCTTCATTGTTATAAGTCTACCATCCAAGTATCGTGAGACAGTGCTGGTACTTACTGAAACTTCGAACTCCGCCTTCAACCGCAAACGAAGGAGTTCAAGGGTAACGGTAGGCTCTGCAGAGACCCACTCAAACAGACAGTCGACGTGGCTTTCTCCCAGTGCTCTGTGACGAACTCCCCCGTGCTGTCCCACCGTTTCTGTCGATTCGTACGCCCGGATCCAGTTGCGGCAAGTTTTCACGTTCACGTTCAGTATGCAAGCGACCTACTTCCAATCGTCCCCTTCCTCGTACGCTTTCAGTACGACGTTCTTCACCTCCCTCGAGTGCCGAACATACGAGCCAACCATTGCGTTTAGGTGAACTGTACATTCAAAAGCATACGGCAAACTTATTTGGCTGTGGCTCGTTATACCAAACCAATCGTCATTCAAATCCTTACTCTCGTTCTAATTGGTGGGAATCGCTTCCTAGGACAGCGAAAGAAAGGCCAACCTGATGTATCCGCCAGCGACACTGTCCCTGGTAGTAGCTGAAGCGTCCCACATACACCCCTATGACTTAGTGCGTCTGAGGTCCAATT